GCTCTGCATGCAGGGGGCAGGGGGCAGGGGGTAGGGAAAAATTCCTACTTAGTTTCTAAGAACCAGCTAAACCATGACACTGGGTGCTCACTAAAGAATCACTGGGCCATACAGAGGTGCAGTGGGAGGTCACTGGGATACACTGGGGTCCTGCAAGATCCAAACATCCTCTCCCTCAAAAAACAACCCAAAACCCCCCAAACCTCAAGGCCCCCAGACATTCGAGGCTCATCTCTGGAGTTCCGCAGGATTTTCTCTCTCCTCTCAGTACAGTCCCTGTTTTCTCTCTCCTCTCCATCCCTTTCCTGTGTCCCAACTCTGGCCGAGCCCTACGGCAGCACCAACAAAGCATCCAAGAACTGGGACCATTCCTTGGTTCTTTCCTGACCTTTCCCCAGGCCCAGCCCGGTTCTCCTGTTCTATCGACCCCCTGCATGGAGCTCTAGGGGGCACTGGGAGGATTGCAAGGCTTTGCTGGTGATAAAGGATAATCAAAATATAAAGCAATAATACAAGATTGTAGCCTTAGTTGTGTACTAGCTAATTTTTAGATAGAATTAGGATAGGGCCTTGCTTGCTTATGCTAACTCACAGTCAGGATATAGTTAATTTTATAACGAAGACTTTAGTGGGAACAGAAAACCTTGGAGTTTAGATAATGGGCTTTGAAACTCATGAGAAAGACACCTTGAAAGTTGATAAAAAGAAACTCCTGAAGAAGATACCAGTTTTGAGTTAATTGGACACTGCCAACTCAGCAATTCTTAGCAAAAGTAGAAAAGTTCAGAAGCTGAGAGAAGCTAGACCTCTTACTTCATCCAAAAGACCTCCAAAAGAAAACCCCAAGGGGACATTCCAAGGTGGAGTTATAGGAGTGGAGTAAGTTAATGATTTCCCCTCCCACTTTTCTGGAATTTGCTGACACAGCTAATGCATATGTAACACAGCTAATGTATATGTAATACAACTAATGCATATGTAACATTATACTGCATTAAAAGAGCTGAACAAAGGCAAAGGGTGTGCGTGACTGGAGAAATTATCCCCCATGCACCCAGTGCGGTGAATAAACATACCTGCTTAAATACTCCTTGTGAGTTTTGGGGTTTGTTTCTGCAAGTCACTGGGCCTTGGGAGTCAACGCCTGGCAGCACTTTGGGAATGTAGGGGGAGCTCCTGCAAGTGCTGGGGACAATAAAACACAAGAGTTCCCGACAAGTGTGCAGGTCCTTGTTCAGCCTGACAGGAATTTAGAACAAACAGCACGGCCCCAACTGCGGGGTCATAGAATCATAGAATTAACTGGGTTGGAAGAGACCTCCGAGATCATCAAGTTCAACCCTTGATCCAACCCCACTGTGATTACTAGATCGTGGCACTCAGTGCCACATCCAGCCTCATCTTAAAAACCTCCAAGGATGGTGAATCCACCACCTCTCTGGGCAGGCCATTCAAATGCCTGATCACTCTCTCTGGAAAGAACTTCTTTCTAATATCCAGCCTAAATCTCCCCTGGCAGAGCTTAAACCCATGCCCTCTTGTCCTACTGCTGATTGCCTGGGAGAGGAGACTGACTCCCACCTGCCGACACCCTCCTCTCAGGTAGTTGTAGAGAGTGATGAGGTCACCCCTGAGCCTCCCCTTCTCCAGACTAAACAAGCCCAGTTCCCTCAGCCTCTCCTCATAGGACTTGTGCTCAAGTCCCTTCACCAGCCTGGTTGCTCTTCTCTGGACCTGCTCCAGCACCTCAATGTCTTTCCTGAACTGAGGGGCCCAGAACTGAACACAACACTCAAGGGGTGGCCTCACCAGCACTGAGTACAGGGGAAGGATCACTTCCCTGCTCCTGCTGGCCACACTGTTCTTGATGCAGGCCAGGATGCCATTGGCCTTCTTGGCCATCTGGGCACACTGCTGGCTCATGTTCAACCTCCTGTCAATCAGTACCCCTGGATCCCTTTCCGCCTGGCTGCTCTCCAGCCACTCCTTGCCCAGCCTCTAGCACTGCAGGGGGTTGTTGTGGTAAAAGTGCAGGACCCGGCACTTGGTCTTGTTGAACTTCATCCCATTGCAATCAGCCCATCTCTCCAGCCTATCCAGGTCTCTCTGCAGAGCCCTCCTGCCTTCCAGCAGGTCGACACTCCCTCCTAACTTGGTATCGTCTGCAAATTTGCAAATGATGGACTCAATCCCCTCACCTAAATCATCGATAAAGATATTAAACAGAACTGGACCCAACACTGATCCCTGGGGGACACCACTAGTGACCGACCGCCAACTGGATGCAGCCCTGTTCACCACTACTCTCTGGGCCCGGCCCTCCAGCCAGCTCTTAACCCAGCACAGAGTGTACCTGTCCAAGCTGTGGGCTGACAGTTTTTCCAGGAGTATATTATGGGAGACAGTGTCAAAGGCTTTGCTGAAGTCCAGATAGACACATCCACAGCCTTCCCCTTGTCCACCAAGTGAGTCACCTGATCATCAAAGGAGATCAGGTTGGTCAGACAGGACCTGCCCCTCCTAAACCCATGCTGACTGGATCTGATACCTTGTCCATCCTGTAGGTGCTGTGTGATTGCACTCAGGATGATCTGCTCCATAACCTTGCCAGGCACTGAGGTCAGGTTGACAGGCCTGGAGTTTCCCGGGTCCTCCTTGCAGCCCTTTTTGTAGATCGGCGTGACACTCACCAACTTCCAATCGTCTGGGACCTCCCCAGAGAGCCAACTTCCAATCGTCTGGGACCTCCCCAGAGAGCCAGGACTGTGTGGAATTGGTTACATTGACCTACAAGAGCTGAGCGAGCACAAACTTGGCAAAGTTAGAACAGTTGGCATAGGTGTGTGCAAGCAAGGTCACGCTGGCCTTGGCAGTAACTGTTATGCAACAACAAGATCTTGCTGTTATCTTGTGGTCACCAGAAGCATGGGAAAAAGAAGGAACTGAGAAAACTGTTGCCCGAAACAGGAACACAAACCAACAGAGTGTCAGTTTATGCGGTGCTTTATTCAGGGCCCGGGAAACCTGAGGACTAGCGTCCCAAGTCAGGATTCCAAAGACCCTCATGTCGACTACATCTTTTATACCTTTAACAAACAAAGCTCCGTGATTGGCTCACACATCAAAGCAAATATACCAGTTATACATAAACTTACATATATCATCCTGAATACAATCAACTGTTACCTCTCCCCTCTAACATATTGTGTAACTGACTCCCACTCCCCTCTAACATATTGTGTAACTGACTCCCACTACCAGACTAAATCCTATTTCTAATTACAAATCATCTTGTACCGGTTCTGCATGCTTGACTTAATCCTTTTAGTATTGTTTCTTTTGATCAGCACATTCCTGACTCATAAGTCCCAGGTGTTGCTCGCAGAGCCTCTTTCAGGCCTACCCTGCAAAGCAAACCTTTGACCAAACTACTACTAGTGCTGTAATCACTGTAACAAGTATCTTCACAAACAGAAATTGAGGGCGTTCCTAACCTCTAAGGCTGCTACCAATTGTAGAGCTAAGTTACAGAATATTAATGATCTTATTATGTATCCTATATATACTGTGATGTATAATCAAAGAAATGAAGCTTACTGATACTCATATTGAGCATCCACGCCTCCCGCGCTGCAACACAGGACTGCAACAAATGGTGCCCGAACAGCTCTAAGGAGCCCTAAAAAAAGCCACGGTTCAGCGTCGTAAGAGCGTCGGTCCCGACCGCAGCACGGGAGGGTGAAAGAGCTGGCTCCACACCCCGAGCGACCGTATAGACGGATCTCAGCCGACAAAGCATCACCGGTGTCTTGCAAGGGCTGCAACGGTATAGCAATATCCTGATCAGGTATGGAGAGACAAGTGATGCACGATTTGCCCAAATGCTTTTTACAAAAGCGGGGTTTGCAGCGGCAGCATTGACTAGCAGCGCTGTGCGACAAGGACTCGCGGGGCGGGGCAGCCCGGCTCAGCAGAGCCTAACCAGAGCCGAGCCAGAGCTGAGGCCGCCTCAGATCACGATCGAAACCGTCCCGTTTCCCCCCCCTCCCCCCCCCGCAGTGTGTGCTGAGGACGGACCGAGACGGGAGAGCGAGGCAAGATGGAGGGCTGCTGGAAGACCCGGAAAATGTAGGCCTGGAGCCTCCTCCCTCCCCTCCACCCCCTCTCTCCCCGCGCCGCTCCGCTTTACAAAGGATGGCAACTATGGAATTCCGTAAAGCCCGCCCATGACATTCTTTGAACTTTTAAAATGTTTTAACTTGAACAAGAGGCAAAACTATGTTTGCTTTGCAAGGTATAGTTTCATCACAACAGTCACTCACAGATAAAAGACACGGAGTTAAGCATTACTACTCTAAGATTGAAGAACAAAAGCTTATGTGAGAATGATGTCTGAAACCTTTCAAACGCAGGAGCTCCCTAGGGCTGTTGCTGCTGTTGTGTTAGTTGAAGGGAGCCTGGTTAGCTTGAAGGGAGTGCAGCTTGTCTCAAAGGAGCTCGAATAGCTCAGTTGGTAAAGTATGGGACTTTGAATCCTGTGGTCACAGGTTTGAGACCCACCACAGAACGACAGGCTGGCTACAGTCCTGAAGCTCAACTCTCATTTCTTTTCTCCATGTAGACCCTCAGTAAAATTGTCTGACTGCTCTTGTCTGTTTCTGCATGGTAACTACTTAAAACTGATGGAACTTTTAAGAGAAACGGTTTGTTAAGCTTTTTGTTAACAGTGGAAGCAACTGGAAGAGGTAGATGGACAGAAACTGAGACCTGACTACATTCCAGACATCGGAGATATCAGTATCCAGAGAGCACAGAGACAACATTGGCGGGGGAGAGCCAGCACAGAGCAGGACGCCTAGGCAGAACCGTACCGGGAGCAGAGTGAAGACGGGGCTGCTGTTGATGCGGCCGCGTGGGGCTGCGGAGCCAGGGCACTGCGGGTTCCTAGCCAGTGTGGGGTACGCTGCCACCTGCACTGAAGGGGGGTCCCAGAGGACCCAGACCTGCAGGGCTTGACACTTGTGGTGTTGCCGGCACAGCTTTCCCGGTAGACAAAGCTGCTGAAACTGCAGGTGATTAAAAAAAAAAAAAAAAAAAAAGGGAAAAGGGAGCTTTGAAGAGAACTTCCATGTGCATGGTGGTGTTTTTCACTGAGTTTGTCACAGTTGACAGAGAAGTGGAACTTACTGGGGAATAGTTAAAGGTTTAAGAGGTCTATAATTGATCCTGGTTACTCGGTTACTGTGACTTTGTAATTGCAGATTATACCTTCCTTCTTTTCTTTTCCCCCTTTCTGGCATTAGGTTAAGATACATTTCAGGTTGGAATTTAAAATGTACACACATGATTTGCTTATCTTCTTTCAGTTCACCTGACATTATTTCTGTCGTGCTGCATAGCTTTTGGTATTCTAAAGTAAGGCTAACTCACTCAGAGAACAAATTATTGTCAAAAAGCATTTTACACACTAAACATATTTTCAAAACTAAAAAGGGGGGAAGAGAATGCATGTACATGAACAAGTCCTAGATCAGAAATGCATCTCATTTAGGTTTGTTAAGCTTTTTTGTTCCTTGTATTGATTCCTCTTCAGGACAGGTGGAGTTGGTGAACATGACCACCACAGATGGCAGACTGAGAAGTACACAGTCAGCAATACTTAGGAATCTGAGATGTGTGGTTGAAATGAAAAATATAATAAAAATCCCAGCTATGTGCGAATGAAGGATGATTGAGGTGGCCACCTTCTGAATGACTGGGAAAAAGCTGTATGAGTGAAAAAAGCTGCATAGATATCTATGTGTGTGAACTTAAATACTTAATGAATGTTAAGATTTTAAGAGAATGTGTTATATAGATTTAATTATGGTAAGTTGATGCTGCTAGCCTTCGGAGATTGGAAGCAGATATTGAAGATATTGCGAGTTAATGCTGGTCAAAATTGACTAAATGGTCTGTTGGTAAATACAACTATCAGGATGGCTTTTACCTATAATCAAGACAAGCTTGCTTGTGTTGTTTTAACCTCTCTGATCATAGTAGGTCAATTCAGGAACAACTACAGTGGTTTAAAGAACATACCAAAAAAATAACTGTACAATCCTCTTGGTTAGATAACCTGTTTTTAAATCTTGGTCTTTCTGGATGGAGTTTGAGCTTATTGAAAGAGGGTTTACGCTGATTAATCATTATTTCAATAATGTGAGTTGTTGTCCATATAATATTTAGCTGTATAGTGCATAGACTAGAACAAATGACAAAAACAGCCTTATTGGTCCAAAACAAAAACAGGGGAATTGTGGAGAATCGGTTACATAGACCTACAAGAGCTGAGTGAGCATGAACTTGGCAAAGTTAGAACACAGTTGGTATAGTTGTGTGCAAGTAAGGTCACGCTGGCCTTGGCAGTAACCGTTATGCAATAACAAGATCTTGCTGTTATCTTGTGGTCACCAGAAGCATGGGAAAAAGAAGTAACTGAGAATCTTCACAAACAGAAATTGAGGGCGTTCCTAACCTCTAAGGCTGCTATCAATTGTAGAGCTAAGTTACAGAATATTAATGATCTTATTATGTATCCTATATATACTGTGATGTATAATCAAAGAAATGAAGCTTACTGATACTCATATTGAGCATCCACGCCTCCCGCGCTGCAACACAGGACTGTTGGTAAATGATGGAGAGCGGCTTGGCTAGCTCTTCTGCCAGCTCCCTCATCACCCTAGGATGGATCCCATCTGGTCCCATGGACTTGTGTGGATCCAGGTGGCTCAGTAAGTCACTGACTATTTCCTCCTGGAACACAGAGGGGTTATTTGGCTTCCTGTCCCTGTCTACCAGCTCCAGAGGCCAGTTGTCCTGAGAGCCACCTGTCCTACTGGTGAGTACTGAGGCAAAGTAAGTGTTACGTATGTCAGCCTTCTCCTCATCCCTGTTAACTATGTTTCCCCCCAAGTCCAACAAGGTATGGAGATTTTCCTTGCCCCTCCTTTTGTTTTTAATGTATTTATAGAAGCACTTTTTGTTATCCCTAACAGAAGTAGCCAAATTGACTTCAAATTGCGCTTTTGTCTCTCTAATTTTCTTTCTGCATGACCTAGTTATATTCCTAAACTCATCCTGAGTAACCAGCCCATGGTCTATAAGCTCTCGGGACAGGAGGCTCTGGGGTCCATCCTCTCCAGGCTCCCCCCTCTCCGGGGCTCAAGGGATGGGGACAGGAAGGGATCCTGATGGAACCCTTTTTCCCGCTGTCCCACCTCCCATTATTCCCCCCTCCCACCCCTTTCCAATCGTCCTCCCAAACCCTGGCTCCTTCCCAACTCTATCCGGGGGTGACCTCTCGCATTCAGTTTGGGGGTCCCATCCCCTATTTTCCCCCTTTCCCTTTTTTCCCCCCATGTCTACCCCTGTTCACCCACTCAAGATCTCAGCGGCTGTGGGGATGGACTGGGAAAAGGTTGGCCGGGAGGAAAGGGAGGGGATGTTGGGGATCCCCGGGAGGTGTTTTTTGGGGTTGCTGAGGTGGGTTCCAAGTGGTAGGCTGGGGGATGCGGTTTTCCCCCCATAGTGGGGGTTGGTGTTTCTGGATCAACCCCACCACCTCCATTGTCAGCCCAGTGCTGGTGGGGGGCTGGGCCGGGGGAGATGGACAGACACGACACAGTGAGTTTGGGGAGCCCTCGGTAGAGTTGTGGGTGGGGGGCAGGAACCCCAGACCCCCGGAGTGTAGAGAGCGGAGTAGGGCGATCCCAGAGCTAGGGGACCCCAGGCAGCCTCTAGGGGAAACATGTAAGGGGGGACCCTGGGCCCCTGAAACCAGAGTCCAAGGAGGGTGGGACCCAGGAGAGAGGGGACCTTGGAAACCCGGTACCTCCAAGCAGAGAGAGAGGGGAGAAGGGACCCCTGGGACCTCCAAACTTGCTAGTATCCTTAAGCGGCACGTGGAGAGGGGAAAAGCCAAGGAACCCAAAGTGGGGAGAATGGAGAGGGGGCAATCCTGAGATTCCTGGTACCCCTGGAAACCCAGAGAGGGTACCCCCTGTCTGGAGTCTCCTCAATACGTGCAGGACCAGAAGGTTCCTGGACAGAGGGGAACGTCAGAAACCCAAAGTGAAGACACCAGTGAAGGGAAACTCCTGGGAGGGTTTTTTAAAGCAGAATCTTCATGGTTTTGGTTTTTTGGGCAATGAATCTTGGTGGTTTGGAGGTTTTTATGGACACGAGATACTTGGTGACTTCTAGAGATGGATTTTGGTAGGAATAACCCCCTAAACCACTGTGTTCACACCTTGTTTTTCCCTGCAAAGCAGGATTTCTCTTTCCCAAACACGTGCAGGATGGAGGAGGAGGCTACAAGGAAGAGGATGTCACGAGCTCGCCAGGCAGGTGAGGAGGAAGTCAGTGCCCCTTTGGACCTGTCTTGTGGTGCATCTGGCAGCTGAGCATCGCCCCTGGCAACAGGAAAACACTGCTGCTGCTGCCAACCTACTGGGGCCAGATTTGGGGGGATATCCTTTGCCTTCCATCTGGGCTGGAGGGAAATCCCCTCCCTCTCTTTCTTACTCCCTCTCATATCTTCCTTCATCTCTTTGCTCCTTTTCCTTTCTTCTCCCGTTCTTCCCTCTCCTTCTTCCTTCTGAATTTTCCTTCCTCACCTGATGCCTTCTCTTTCTTCCTTCCTCCTCTTTTTACTTCTCCTTCCTCCTCTTTCTTCCTGTTCCTTCCTCTTCTTTTTCCTTTTCTTCTTCCTTCCTCTCCTCAGTCCTTTCTTCATTTCTTCCTTCTTTTTATCCTTCCTCTCTTCCTTTCTGCCCCAGGCCCTGAGCTGAGGGCAGAGAGCACAGAGGACAAATCCTCCCCAGCAGAACCTGGTGGGAGAGGCTGTTTTGAATGGTTCCACAATGCAAGAAGGCAGTGTAACACACAGATAATATAGAAATACCAAAAATTATGTTTAGCCATTGTTTCTGCCTGTCAAAAACTTTCTACCAGGAATTCTCTGTCAGCTTTCTTCCAGAAGTTCTCACCAGAGCTTCCTGCTGGACTTTTCCTGCCAAAAGATCCTACTATTGTTTATGGTTATCATATCTCCTCGAACATCTGAATAGGGCTACGTGCCAAGGAACCACGTACAACCTCCTTTGAACACTGTAAAAGTTGAGGACAAATTTTGGAAAATCAGGGAAGAGGAAAGGGAGAGAGAACTGGTGACTGTAGCCAAGAATCTCTCCCCACCTCCCCTCACCTTTTCTCCACCACCACATGCTGCCTGCCTGCCATGGGAGACTGGAACTCTGCCGGCCTGGAGAGAACTGAGACCCACCATGCCACATGTGTGAGTTATATCTTATCCTACCCTGACCATATTTCTGAGGGCCCAAAGGGAAAGCTGAATTGAGACCCTGCACGTCCTGGGACACAGCTCCTTGTGAGGGGTGAAACCACACATCCTGCATTCCAGAGAACTAAAGCTGTTAGACCCCCTGCAGTTAAAGAGATAACATTGAAAAGCAGTAGAAATAGAGAAAAAAAAAAAGGCAGAAACTGCTTCTCAGGAAGCTGACAGGAGGTTGCAGCTAGGTGGGGGTCAGTCTCTTCTCCCAGACAACCAACAGTAGGAAAAGAGGACACGGTCATTCAGAAGACTGGGTGATTGGGCATTGGAATGGGCTGCCCAGGGAGGTGGTGGAGTCACCTTCCCTGGAGGT